CGCGCGCGCGCGCTAGTCTCTTCTGTAAACCTCACCACCGCATTAGGTGGCTGGAGGCGGGAGCTAGGAGAAGCCATCCCAGAGCTGGTATTAAAGGTAATTGGAGTCTTGTCTCTTTAATTTAGAATTCCCTAGCGTTTACTCATGAATCGAACCTTCTTTCATGAAGCCAGCGCTGGTCGTGTGGCAGACAAGGCCTGGGGCTCAGTCAGCAGGATAAGGGCAGTAGCCCCAAGAGCATGCCGTATGCCATTGTTTCCCACCTGCAAAACCACTCCTTACAGGTGGTGTGTCCCCATTTAACAGGTGAGAACACTGCATCAGAAAGGCAAAATCTCAGCCAAGTGCAGTAGTGCACACCTGGTAATCCCAGAAGTTGGGGAGGCTGAGGCAGGAGGATTGTGAGTTCAAAGCTAACCTCAGCAACTTAAGGAGGCACTAAGCAACTCAGCAATCCTGTTTCTAAATATAATATTAAAAAGGGCTGGGGATTTGGCTCAGTGGTTGAGTGCCCCTGGGTTCAATCCCTGGTAGACCAAAAAAAAAAAAAAAAAATCTCAGAGAATTAAGTTACAGCCAGTGTTTTCTTGAGGCCTGGGATCTCCCACCAGTGCCTAGATATTGCCATCACTGCCACCCAGACTCCTGCTTCTGCCTGTCCTGGCTGCAGTCTCCTCAGCCCAGGGGCCAAGGTGAGGCTGATCAAATGCAGATCAGATCAGGCTCAGAACTGGTACCCACCTCACTCTGAATAACGAAAGTCCCTGCACTGGTGTGGGAACAGGTCTGGTCTCCATCCCAACCTCCCATCTCCTGCCTCCCTTTCCCACATATCCTTGCTCCCTGCACAGCCAGGCTCCTAAGCTCTGCACCCTCCCTCCTTCTAGAAGTTCTTCCTCACCCCCCTGTGAGCTTTTGAAAGGAACTCCCCAGCCCTGGAGTCGCAGTCCCAGATCCCCCTCAGTGCCTCCCTCCCTTCTTTTCCCCTGGTACCCCTTCCCCTTCCCCTTCCCAGGTACCCCCAGGGCAGTGTGGGAGTGGCCTCCCTTTCTGTGTGACCTTGGCTGGACACACATATTTGGGGACCCTCTGCAGTTCCTAACTGGTGGGAGCTTCTGCCCCCAGAGTGTGGAATTTCCCCGGGGGCAGGTGAGTTAATGAGTTGCAGGTGCGAGCAGAAGGCCCCACTTCTCCCGCAGGAGCAGAGGGGGCAGGGTGGGAGCGCTGGGCAGCCAGAAGGACATTTCCACTTTCTCTCACATCACTCATCTGTGCCTTAATCAAAAGCCCTCAGGAGGGACAGTGACACGCTCAAGGTCACCAGCTGTGTGGAGGCTCAGCCAAGGCCACGTCCAAGGTCTCCTGACTGAGGCATGTTGCTGTCCCCTTCTGAGCTGCAGTGGCCTCACTAAAAACTCAAGATCCTGTGTCCACTACAGGAAGCCCCATCAAGGAGACACATGGGGGCCAGATCTGGTGGCACCAGTGGGCTTCCTGCCTGGCTGTCCAGCACCTTCACCCCACACAGACACCATCTTGTGCTGGTTGCTGGAGACCCAGATGTCAGGGACCCTTGGAGCTCAGCCCCCTCCTGCACCTTCCCTGGCCTCCTCCCAGCTTCCGTTACCCAGGTAACGCCTTCCCTTGGAGGTTCCACCTGCAGTCGGCCCAGTACAGTCAGAAACCTCACCTGCTACTCCTCTGTTGCTAACTACGCTCATTTGGATGGTTCTCTCCCTAAGTGAAAAATCAAGCGATTCTGTCTCTCCCCTGCACAACCCTGCAGCGGTTCCTTTGACCTTTTAAAGAACGTCATATACCTTCACATGACCCGGGAAGTTTCCTGCCTCTACTTCCCTCTGGCCTCCCTCTGCCCTGCTCCTTAGAGTCTATCCTTCTACTCACAAATGCCATCTAGAGTGTCCCCTGGTCTAGCCCCATGGACACAGCAGTGAACAAAACAAGGCTGCCACCCTGCGGGAGCTTGGGTTCCCCTTGAGAGAGACAAGAGACAGATAAACTGATAATGGGTGTAGAGTGAGAGATGGTATGAATACTATGGAGAAAAATGATCGGGAGAAGGAGGACAGGACACACTGGGGAGGGGCTTCTGTGATTTTAGGGTATGACCAGGAAGAGCTCACTGTAAAGGAGACATTTGGTGGAATACCTGGAGGGGGTCAGGGAAGGAGCCACGTAGCTATCTGGAGGAAGAGCTTTCCAGGCAGAAGGAAGGGCAGAGGGAAAGGTCCTGGGGTACCTGTGCAATCCCGGAACAGCAGGGAGCCGGGGAGGTCAGAGGAGTGAGTGTTGAGCTCAGAGGGGTGATGAGCAGGGTACTGGGCACATTATCCAGGGTCATCCTGGATTTTTTTTTTTTTTACTCTGAGAGCCAAAGAGCTATTCCAAGGTTTTGATCAGAAGAGTGACCTAGTCTTTGGGTTAGAAAGAGACTTCATGGGTCGAGGATGGAAGCAGAGATCAGTGAGGGGGAGAGAAATGACAGAAGCCCAGCCCAGGATGATGAGCAGTGAGTGGGTGAGAAGTGGCTGGCTTCTCATATCTTGAAGGTAGGGCCAGCAGGATATGGGGGTGAGAGAAGAAGTGAGGGTGGTGGCTGGATATCCAGGTGGGTGGTCTGGTAACTCACAGGAAGGATGGAGTTGGTGTGGGAAGGCAGGTCTGGGAGGAGTCGGCAAGGTGGACCAACTGTGCATAGCATGTGGCCTTCTCTCCAGCCATGGGTCAATGGGCATCTGCCTCTGGGCCAATGCACATATTGGCTCCTTTCCTGGATGTTCCTCCTGCTCTGCCACAGGGATCCCTTCTGTGAATTTGTCCCTGTATCTGCCCCCACTCTCGTCTTATCTGGCTCTTTGTTTTATGCATGTGCTGACCTCATGCTTTTTACAGTCTTTGTCATACTGTGCAGTAGAAGGCAGGACTAAGCACCCCCAATACTGTGTTGATCAGAGTGCCTTACACCTCAGTGTCCCGCAGGTGGTAGGAGCCCAACCTGAGACTGAGGACCTGGTTTGAATTTAGCTGTGCCACCGTGGGTGGCTCACCTTGCCTCCCTTACCTTGACTGCATGGGCCTCATTTCTGCGACTGTCAACTGGGTATGCTCTTTCCCTACCTGCCTCTTGTGGGATGGTTCTTCCCCAAGAAGGTAAGTAGTTGAATCCCTTTAGACAGGAAGATGTTGTGAGCCCAGGTGTGGCTGGCGCGCCCCCTGCTGGAGGGTGACTGGCGGCTCAACAACTCCCCTCGCCCCGCCCGCCGCCCCTCCGCCTCGGTTCACGGGGGAAGGGGGAAGTCAGAGGCGAGGAGGGCTTGCGGGGAGCAGGAACCGCCCGGAACATTTTCCAAAACAGGTGCACACATTCTTCCATTTAGTTCTTATCACGACTCTTTGGAGAAGATTAGATTAGACCCATTTTTCTTTCTTTCTTTCTTTCTTTCTTTTCTTTTCTTTTCTTTTTTTTTTTTTTGAGAAGCGACTCAGATTAAAAAAAAAAAAAAAAGGTAAAGAAGGCTGAATAAAGAAAGGTCGGAGTTGCGAGAAAGTGTACGGGTGACCCAGGAAGGCCTCCCAGGAATGGCTAAAAGTCAGGTCCCTCTACACTGGGATTGGGGGTGCGTTGGTTCCGGTCCCCGCTCAGCCTCCTGCTCAGTTTGGGAAGATATTGAGCAACCCCTACACTCCTCGGTCTCGTTTTCCTCATCCCTGCGCCTCCCACCCCACTCCCGGCTGTTGCCACCTCCTAGGGGGCTGCAGGACCGAGGCACGGACCCGCAGGATGTGACAGGAGGGTGTGAGCACGTGTTGTGGCGGCCATCAGGGGGCGCACGAGGCCCTGCTGGACCACAGCAATCCATTCAGTGGCCAGTCCCTCTGCCAGATTCTAGGACCGGGTAGG